GCTGCGGCCTGCACTGCCCAGTGCCGCTCAACAGGCTGCCGCCGCCCGCCGCTGGCGGTCGCCCCCTTCCCCTTCCCGCCCCTGCGTGCGACCGCCGAGGCGACCGCCTAATCCCGTCCACACGGTGCGCTCGGACCGACGGCCCCCGGCCGAAGCCGTGTAATTGAATGAGGCAATGACGTGCGGAGGATGGTGATCTGCTGATGGATCGCCGCGCGGCGCGGACCATATTTTCCATGGCAATGTGCGCGGCGCTGGCGGCGCCAAGGCTGTGCCGTTCTGCGGCCTGCTCCGGACTGCACCGGCCGGTAATGCACGCTTGCCGGGATGAGCGAAAATGTAGAGTTTGTAGAGAGATGTGGAGGAACCGCAGCAGAAGCACAGCGGGAGCGAAGCGCCCCCCACCTGCTGATGTCGCCGCTGCGGTTTGAATAATTGTCGCCATGCCGCCGCCGTGGAGGTTTGGAATGAGCACCGCGAGTCGCTGTCGCTGATTGAGCCCGGTCTGCTGACGTGAAAGTCGCGGTGGCAAGAAGGGACGGGCACACAGAAAGGAAAAGTCTTGAATTGCTGAATATGTTTACAATCATTTCATTTGTTTGTAACAATGCTGTGCCAAGACAGATGGGTGGGTTGGGTCTCGACCCTTCAGCTACTGATCAGCTATGTACTTCAACTGCCCCCCCCCCCCCCCTCCCCTTCTTCCTCTTATTGCACCTCTCTGCATTTTTTCGCGGTCGTGCAGAGATATCTGTTGTCCCACCCAAACCACACTCTTTGGTGCGCTGGCTTGCGTAATCCGAGTGGCGCTTGCTGGTGGCGCCTTACCCGTACCTGCCGCCAGGCCATGAGTACATCAATTTTATTTTCCGCATCCATTCCGTGGACTTGGGTTTTCTGTTTTTGCCGCTGTGACTGGTACTGGTTGGGGCCAGGACACCACGCACCACTTTATGCATTACGTGCCGTGTTTATCATTTTTATCTAGTAATTTTCTATTTTAGAATACGAGCAAATATTTTTACATGTTATGTGATTGTTGCAAGCTGCTGCTGCTGGAGCATATTTCTGGAAGAGTAGAGCAACAGTCTCTTTTGTAAATTAGCTGCGAGTGCAGCGGGCGGGCGGAGGGAAAAAACACTTTGTGTGACGCGGTTTGGTGAGACAATGGTGGCGCCCTGCGGTGGGGGGGCTGCGCCGGGCTGCGCGCGGCTTTTAAAACGCGTTTATCGCGACCGATCTTGATTCAGCGGCGGTGGCGCGGTGGGCCAAAGGGACAGTGGGCGGGGGGGCGGGCGCGTGTAGGACTGTGGGGCGGGGCGGGGCGCCGGTGGGAACATCTCCGACTGTGAGGCGGCGCCGGCTAACGCTTATTGCGCAGAGGAGAGTAAAGGAAAGCGTTAATGGTGCACGTTAATTTACACATGACGCAGTATTTGGAAGAGATACGAAATTTATTTATTTACTTATTTTAAGTACTTTATTACTTAAAGTTTTGGGGTGCAGATAGTCATGTTGCATGGATGACGAATCTTTGCTGTACCTTTTAGAAAATGCAGCCCAAATGTCGCCGGGCCTGGCGTTGTTGACCTTACCCTAATCGGTGTTTTTTTCCTCTCTCTTGTTGCAGGTGAGGAGAAGTAGTGTTGCGCTGCGGGTGCGGGGCACGAAGTGCGGGGCACGTAAACCACGCTGGACGGTGTTAAGTAATGAAAGTAGTTTTCACCAGTAATATGCGCGGGGGCCGGCCGGGGGCGGCGCGGGCTGTGAGGTATGCGGCCGGCGCAGAGCCCGTGTTCTTATCGTTGGTCACGACAGACGCCTCCTCTTGTTGCTTGCTGTTTTGGGTCGCAATAGTCTTCCCCTTCTCTGAAAAAAAAAAACGTGGCGCGTTTTAGAAATAGACCCGAGACTTTTCAAAGGTTCAAAACCGTCCTCGTTTTTTTCTGGCAGCTCTTTTCCCCCGTTTTTTCTCTTTCTTCTTTTTGCGCTTGCCTTGCCCTCTCGGCCGGACTAGGGTGCAAGGGGGCACGATGTTGGCCTTTAGGCTCGCCTCTAGGCGGTGTCGGTGCGAGTGAGGCGCTGCATGGCCTCGCCGAGGGCCTCGTACAGCATCTCATCTCGTGCTCGGACAAATGGCCGGGCCGCCGTCACGAACCCAAATGCCATCACAGTTCTCCCCGCCCGCCCTGCGCGGCCCGGCCGCCGCCGCTCCTTTTTTCGCCATTCTTCATTTTCCTTGTGAAGTAGAGAGGGCGCAAGTGCGATGTGGCTCCCTTCCCTTTCACTCTCTTTTTCGTGTTTTTTTTATCCCCTCTTTATTTTGGGGTGTCCTATTCTTGGCGATTGTTCAAGAATTTGCGGACTTGCAGTCGCAATTAGCTTCCTGCTCACCTTGATTTTGCTTCCAGTTAGAATATAAACATATGATGCACTTTTTAGTTATTTTGTGTGGTGTGGTGATTATGGGATTTTCGTTGGGGGAGGGGAGGGTGTTGAGGAAGGCGTGGAGGGGGCAGGCCCGCCGCACTAAGGCACCGGAACACAGTCCTGATACTTGTTTGTGGTGTCGTTGTAGTGCTCGCGGTGGGGAGTGGGAACCCAGCGGCGGGTGCAGCGCCTGCCTCCCATGGTACGTACTCCAGCCGCCCCGCCATGATCAGCGGTGCGGGGAGGTCGGACCGGTCCTACCAGTGCTGCTGTGTTGTGTGAAAAAAAGATGTCATTTTTAAAACATTGTTTCACGGAAAATACTTGTAATTTAAGAGATAAAATATAGGAAAATGTCAGACTATGAATTTGATTTTATAAAAAGAAACAAGAGAAAGAGAAACGTCAGATTTGCAAAATTTGTTTTTAAAAAGTTTCAAATTTGACATCTCAGTGTGAAGCTGCGAGGCGGCCGCACTCCCACCCTAGACTGGTCGAGATCGCTACGCCATATCGCTCCTTCTCTGCCCGATAGTAATAACCATTTGCAGTGATTGTGTGTGTGTGTCTAACTCGCGGGGCGCGCGCCGAGAGGCGTGGTGGTTGGGCGTGGTGGTTGGGCGTGGTGGTTGGGTGGTGTGCGACAACCACTCCCCTTGTTGGTGTTTGAACCCGGCCTGTTTGTCGACCATTTAAGGTTTTATGTCCTGACGGGCCGGGCCGGTCTCTGCCCGGCCGGTGGTGCCGCTGGTGGGGCATGTAGAGGAGACAGGTGAAAGCGACCCGCGCCGCCGCGGAGCCGAGCCGAGCCGAGCGCCCCGGTGGATGAAAACAAACACTCGCTGCTCACCCGACCACCGCCGCCTGCTGTCCGGCGTCATGGCATGGGCCGCCATATGGGCCGCCAGGGACCGGGGGGTGCCTCGCGCATGGCACGCATGGCACGCCGATAGTGATGGCATTGTGCATGAGTCGAGGCATGAGTCATGGGGGCCCGGCCCACCCCTTCTGACAAGAGCAGCTTGCCTGTCCCGCTGCAGCAGCCGCAGCAGCCGCAGCAGCAGCAGCTCATGGCATTGAGCCTGTTTGTGGCTCCAGCGCTGAGCAAGGTGACACTCACGCTGAGCTGAGCCGGCGGGGCAACGACCCCTGATCTTTTTCATATTCATGGCCGATCGTCCCGCCATGCCCATGCCCATGTGTGTGTGTGCGTGAGCGCGCGCGCGCGCCCGGCCGGTAGCGGCCGCTGGTGCCGGGGACTCTGCCACCTCCGCCGCGGGAGGCTGCGTGCCGTGCCCGCGCTGGACCAGCACCGACCAGCACACCCGGACTGGACCCGAGCAGACCGGATCCGGCCAGAAGAGGCTGAGGCGTGGCAGCCGAGGGGAGGCGTTCAATGGTCCAGAGTGTCCTCATCTCGGGCCCGGGCTCGGGGTGCGCCCGCCGGCGCCCGCTGACGAGTGTCCTGGCGGTGCCCGCGCCTGTGGGTGATAGACGGGCGGTCAGTCTCTCTGGCCTCAAGGTGAAGGTGGCGGTGAAGGCTACCGCGCGCACGGGGCGGGGCCGCTCTTGACGCCTCTCACACTTTCCCACGCTGCTACTGCTGCTGCTGCTCCCAACTGCTGCCTGCCCCCCTCTCCCCTTCCCGCCCCCCGGCGAGCGTGTGCCGAGTATTACTGTGTCGTGCGTCCGCATGTCATGGAGCCCGTCAGACACCAGCCTCCTCGCCCTGCCCGCCCTGCACGGCACGAGTCATGAGAGCCCGAGCCGAATCAGAGTCGGTCGCTCTCGGTGCCCCTCCTCTCTCGCCCCCCCCCTCTCTGTCTCTCGCGCCACGCCACGCCCCGACAGGTGAGGCCCAGGCCGAGGATGTGGGTCAGGTTGGTGCCGAGTGTGCCGTCCGCAGACTGACCACCCCGCGCCCGCCTGCCCCCACCTGCCCCCGCCCCTGCTGCTGCTCTAGTGCCAGCCGGCCAGTCGCCAGCGGCGCGAGCGGGGTCACTGCAGCATATCCTATGCACTACTGTGCTTTCATGTAATTTTTAGACAGTCCCTTAAAGACTGTCTCTACCAGAAGGAGAAAATGTCGCCCCTCACTCGCTCGTTTTTCTTAGAAAGAAATATATTTCGACGTTTTACCCCCACGACCCTTTTTCTGAGTTTTCCCTCGTAAACGCACACGCATCCACACGCACGCACTTTTTCCTTTTCCCATTTCATCGTGTTGCCGGACGGGCTTCCCTCGTCCACCGCTCGCGGTCATGACCTGGTTGCTTCGTCTCGCCTCGCCACAACCCTTCGTTCGTCGGCCCGGACTTGACTGGGCACTTTGCGTGTTTTGCTCGTGCCGCGGTGAAGGGGCGGGAGGAGGGTTTGAGGGGGGGGGGTGCCTTGGGATCTTGGGATTTGCGTTCGGTTATGGTGTTTGAGCCCCCTGCAGCTTACATCACCGTCCTGATTGCGCCGGCCGGATTGTTATCGTTTGTTGCTCACTCTTGCATTAGTTGTTGGTTGTAGTTTTGGTTCTCGCTTGCGCTTGCTCAGCCCCGCTGATGTGCCGCTCCCTCGCTCCCCGTGGCGCCGGCCGGCGTCGGGCCGCCTCGCTGCAGGACGCCCCCTTGCCCCCTCGAGGCCGGTTTTGGACTCGTCCGATTAGGCCAAAGTAGCACCCTCGCTCTTCTTGCCCCCCCCCCCCCCCCCCTCCCCGGACTCTCGCACCGGTCCGTCGAGTAGAAGTGCCTCTCCACGGACCAGCCAGTCGAACCTTACGATTGGGTTCCCTGCTCCGTCCCTCCTCCCCTATGCTGTGAGGCGTCAGATCGAGGAAACTAATTCAACGCAATCAAGCACATGTCCCATAATCTACTTCCAAGGGTTCAGTTATACTGTCTGCCCTGCCCTGTTCCTTTCGCCTGTACCACCTAAATTTCGGTCTCAAATTCCCGTACCCCTTTATTGGCTTCTAGTGTGGCCATTTTAGTTTACAAGATTTACTCAGAAAGTCATGTGTCAGGTGGCACTACACCATGTGCGAGAGAGCCCGGGGGTAGGGGGTATAGCCACCATCCGTTTGGGCTTGTGTGATGTGTGTCCGTGTCCGTGTCCTGTGTCTATCTGTATGCCCCTCCCACATTGTTTTTGTGACACCACCTTTCCCGAGCATTTAGCATTTAGGTTTCGTATCCATCAATCTAATATTCTTATTATTTTTATTGCAGATTTTACAAAACTTGGGCAAAGTAGATCGAACATCAGACGAAATTTTTGAGGAACATCTTCAGAACTTCACACGACAACAAAATGCTGCCAACAGACTACAGAAAGAATTCAACAACTACATTCGCTGTGTTCGTGGTAAGTTGTTGAGCTATGCTTATCAAATCAGGTCATTAAATTGTATGGAGGCAAAACTAATTATTTTATTTTATTGTTATAGCCGTGCAGACAGCAAGTAAATCATTGTTGGATTCTCTATGTGAAATCTATGAGAGTGGTTGGACTGGCCATGATCTACTATATGTACAAGCTCAGAATATTGAAATGTTGTGGCAAGATTTCAATCACAAACTAGGTGACCAAGTGCTCATCCCCTTGAACACATATCAAAGCCAATTTCCAGAAATGAGAGTAAGAAATTTTAATATTTCTAGAAATATTTAAGCAATTTCGAACCATGCTTCATTTTTACCCTTGTGTGTTTTGTATGTAATTTACAGAAGAAAGTAGACAAACGAGGTCGAAAACTTGTGGATTACGACAGTCAACGGCACAACTACCAATCACTCCAGGCAGCCGCAGCAAGTGGAACGAAGAAACGAGATGAAAACAAGATCAGCAAAGCTCGTGATACTTTGGAAGAAGCAAAGAGGACATATGAAATGCTGAACTCTGAACTACATGATGAACTACCGGCTCTTTACGACTCACGCGCCCTTTTCTTGGTTACGAATCTTCAAACATTATTTGCTGCAGAACAGTTGTTCCACTCTGAAACAGCCAAGGTAAATTAGAAAAAAATTAAACATCTATTTTTGATGCCTTTACTTTAATCTGAAAAAGGTTTATGCTCACAATGATTTATTTTTGACAGGTCTACACAGAGCTGGAAGCTGTTGTAGATAAATTGGCAACTGAATGTCAGCGTGGCTCTTACACACTAAAGAAAAATAACTCATCTCCAAAGTCAGCAATCATTAACAAGTAAGCATTGTTTTTTCTTGTATGTTTTTTTTCTTAATGATATGTCAATAAGATTCGCCCATTTACCAATTTTATGTGTTTTTTGCAGTATGAATTCAAGTATAACATCTGCACCCCACTCAGGTGAGTGATTCTTATTTTGTGTGACTTTGTTTTGGGTTTTGAACTTTTTACAAAAATTTATGATTAATGGTATTTGTTTTTTTTTTTTTTTAAACAATGTATAAATAATTTTACTGATTCAAACTCTTTTGTTTTTAATTTGAATAATTTGTCCACATATTGTTCTTTAGTAATCATTAACTTGTACTGTAAATGCATCACAACTTACAAATGCTTGCACAGTAGCCTCTTGTTTTGTGTATTTTGAATTTAGTTTTTTATGCTGATGCTTGCAAAGTTGTATGTCATGCATTCTGAACTACATTCTTCTCTTTCTAATTCAATGTTCTTTAAAAAGTGTCAGACAAATTTTATCAGTATTATTTGCTCTTTGAGCCTGCTTGTGGCTAATTTTGTGTGCTGTGAGTGTGATGTGTCTGTGTGTTTCAGCGGGCAGCTCAGCTGAGCCCGTCGATTGCGTGACACAATTTACTAACCAATCCTCCCCCTCCTCCACAGCTACCAAACTGGCCACCTTGCCCTCATCTGATGCAGTACCACACATAAATGGAGATTCAAAAAAACAAAACAACAATTCAATCCCAGCTTCTCCAACGTCACCAACACCTTCAAGTCCTGATGTAAATGAGACTCCTGTTGCAAACAACTCCAACACATCTGTCCCAGCTACAAATTCAACCAATGCCAATTCCTCCACCCCTACCAGTCCAACTAATGGCAAAGCACCTAATGCCAACAGCAACAAGCTTGTTGAGGAGCTCTATGACATTCCTGTTGGTGAGTATTTTGAACCTGAGTCATTTCATTCTGGTCCCTACCAATTCTACAAACAAAATTATGAATTTTAAATTGGTAATATTTAAAGGTATTGCTCATTCTGGTGTCATTATATATGGTGTTGCACGTTGTTTTGCAATTATTGTTCCTAATTTTAACACGACTTAGCAACCTTCATTTTGTTCTGTTTTCACAAGTTTTGTAAGCTGTGAATCTTAATATCATTCTCCTTGTTGGGTTTTTAATCATCATTTCTTTACTTACTTTTCATGAAGGTGCCACTACAGACAACCTGCCTCCAGGTGTTCTCTACAGGGTTAAGGCGACATACAAGTATAACCGTGAGGATGTCGATGAGCTGTCATTTGATGTTGGAGAGATTGTTAGAGTTGTTGAATATGATGACCCAGAAGAACAGGTGTGTGACCAGTTGAAGTTCATTAGTGTGTTCTTGTTCTGTTCAGTTGGCTTAATCTTCAGTTGTAAGAAACTTACCATTGTCTGTCTAAATTTTCAGGAGGAAGGCTGGTTAATGGGAATCAAAGAAGGAACAGGTGAAAAAGGAATGTTCCCTGCAAATTTCACCCGCCCGTTGTGAAGTGTGTAACAGCTTGCCCTAGGGCAAAGTCTTCTGTTTTTTGTGGAGGTGTAGACATTCTTTTCATTTCTTGCAAACCAAGTTGTCTAGCAACATGAGTGATGTGTGTTTGGGAGTGAACTTGCCCCTGAATCATCAAATTTGATACTTGTCAATGGTTTGTTTAAAAATGAAAATTTTATTTGATTGATGGACTGCTTCAAACTGCCTCTCTACACTGGCTGACCTAAGGATAACTTTGGTGAACACTCTCTAGTTACAGAGGACCCAAAGTGTGTACAGTTCATAAATTATCCTTAACATATCACTAGTGTAGACTGACCAAAATAGTGGTGACCCTCTTGTGCACAACTGGTACCAGTATGGAGACATCATATTCCATCAGACCAAGTTTATATTTTTGTAACGGTATTCCCGTTTGTGATTTTCCATTCATTACGACTTTGCAGATTAGTTTGCAATAATTAAAATTCATGATGTATTCTTACACATAACCAAAATTTCAGTATGAACAGAGAATTTGTGTTACAGTACTGTTATTTTATATTCAAATCAAATCAGAGTGTTTAGGTCTCTATAATGGCCTATATATATATATTATCTATATCAAGTCTTTTAACAAAGAATATATTGGTGGCCTTCGTACTTGATGATTATGTGATACGTACTTTTGAAGCGTACTGGTGCCATTCATTGATTAGACAATGCCTTCTTCTCGATTGTTGATTGTGAGAAAATTTATTTTGCTCATTGTTTCCCCTACACAAAAGCAAATTGTAACAAAATATTTGTTAAAGTGTGATTTCTCTCTCATAGATGTTGCATTTGTATTTTTTATTGGTCAGAGATACTATAGACCTCTGCATGGCATTTGTTAGTCAACAGATTGTTTATGAAATTTATGCCTCTCTTTGTTGGGAGTGATAGCCTTTTTTTAATTATCGCAGTATTTCTTTTAAATGCATCACATCATTTTACATGTCCCAAGTGTATTATTTATGACAGTATTTCTTCCCTTCCAGATTCTGTTGTATATCTGGTTTTCTGTTTTCATTTGCATGTTACTACAATAATTCTCAGTAATATATATTTACACTTGCTGTTACTTTAACAATCACAAACCTGCGGCTAAAATTTAACATTTCTTAACCTACTATTAAAATGTAAATTTACTTTGGATTACATCAAAGAAAGTTCGGAAGTGTGGGGCATAACAATTATTCTTATGAAGGGAAGCAAAAGTTTATTTTTTTAAATCTATTATGAGAGGAATGAGCATGCCCATTTGTATTTAGTCATGAATTGTTCTGTCAAACAATTACGTGAGAATTTGATATGAATCAAGTAAGATGGTTCATGGTATCTTATTGAGTGATTAATGCTGTGTATGTATGTTTTTAAATGTTTGTATTATGTATAAATGTCTGTTTGTTGTATGTGTGTGTGAATGTTTGCGTGCGAGTGAATGAGTGTGCCTGTGCATGTCGGTAGGTTCATTGTTGAACTATAAATTACTTATCTCTGTCCTAGAATGAGGCCGCTGCCTATACCCTTACAACATTGTCTTCCCAACTCACGGCCTAGCTTAAAATCTATCTTATACAAACATACAAATTTAGTAATTTGTATTTATTTTATTACATCATGACCAGGCATAATTTTTCTAAGAACTTTTATATTGAGACTGTTATGAAGGGCCAATAAGAGAATGAAGTAAAAAGCAATGATGAGTCTGTGACTTGTTTAGAACAGAGAAATCAGAGAAATCAAAGAAGTAACTATTTTCGGTATTCAAGAATATTTTGGTAACCTTTAACTTGAGGTGTAGCGCGCCTATTAATTCTTCTACTGTATTAATCTTTATTAAAGATGTGTCAACTGGAGTAAGAGAAGGAGCTTGATATGATTTTTGAGTCCTGTTCTATTAGGGTCGAGTAAATTGTTTTTAAAGAGGGAGGAGGCAAATACTCATTTTACTGTTTTTAAACTTTTAGATTAAAAAATATTTTTTCTGTGTAAATAATTTGCTGCGATGAGTATGAAGTTCTTAAATGATGTGTTACTGAAAGTTTCAACTTGAAGTTTGGAAGAAATATTTGTTAACCTTTTTTAAAAAGTCTAAGTGAATTGCTTTTATTTGCCTCTTGGTATTTTTCTACCAGCCTTATGAGCTGGTAAATTGCTTTTAAATAGGATTGTTTCTTCATGTCCTTTCCATCTTCCATAATCTTATGATTTCACTTGCCATTTCCTCCCATGTTGATTTACCACTTTCAAGTGTGTGTTTTATAATTTGCTTTTTAGCTTAGCAAAAAACTAACCAGTCTCCAAAGCTGTTATAAATTTGTGAATCTGTGAAAAAGCGCTACTTAGAATTAATTGTTAAAGCGATGTGAGTATGTTAATTTGAGGAAGTACCATGATGTAGGAATTAAAATCTGTGAATACCTCATCAGCACATGAAGCATGTAAGATTTCCTACTTCTTGTGCATGTATCATGCTTGAGTCAGTTTTTGTTAATTTATTTTAGGGTTGAAGATGTCATGACTTCTGAATGCTTTGCTCAGGACCTTCTACTTGAACGGATTGAATTCTGTATGTGTGATCTGTTGTGCATAGTTTATTTTGCTTCTGGCTCATTCTAACACCAACTTGTGTGTTCTATTTAATTATACAGCTAGAGAAAAATATCTCGTCTTCCTACTTAGTCGTAGTTTGTCTATTCATTTTTGTAGTTAATGAATGTTGGTGGTTCTGATAGGTTTGAATTGTCAAGCTCCTTCAGAGAAAAGGCTGGCCTGATAATGTGGAGGATACTGCTTCTGATTTAAATAGAGGTTTGATGTTGCCCTCGTACTTGTACCATAAGGACCCCCAAACCAACAGTAACAGTGCTTCAGAATGTGCCATGAAGTCTTTCAAAGAATTCTTTCAAGTAGAGACCAGTCTACTGACCAACCATGGATGTAGATTTGAGGTCATTTCTGTGAATTCTACTTAAAAGAAAAAAAATGTGCTCATTAGAAAGGAATGGAAAATTTTGTGAAATGTGGGAAGTGTCACAATTTTCTCTTGTAAATATAAAAATGAATACATGAATACAGTAGAACTTTGTCTAAGCGTGCCTCCTTACTCTGTGTGCATTTATTTCTATATTTCACCATTATTTCTATGTTTATATGGAATTAGGATGCCGTATGTAGTGATAGGTCAAAATGCTAGCATATGTTATCTCATCTAGTTCTTCCCCAAGGCACTTCAGGTTACGGACTGTTAGTTGCTTGTACAGGGTTCTACTGTGTGCAAATGTATTGTATAATTACTATACATAACTATGTACAGAATGTGAAAGATATAATTTAAAATAAACAATCAAGTTACACATTTGACGTGTCCAGTGCTTTTGCGTCCCTAGGCTTGACATCTATAAAATGTATGGCGGAGTTGTGGGGGCATGGGCCAGCCCAGCCCAGCAGTGGGGCCAGTGTCAATGACTCTGCCCCGCCCCATCCCCATGATAGAGGGGCGTCGATGCCCATTGAGAGGAGAGAGGGAAGTCCAGACTCCTCGCCGCGGTGCCGCGCTAGCCGCCCTAGCCGCGCTAGCCACCGCCCGGGCTGGCCAAGGGCGGCGGGGAAGCTCTACAAGGGCTCTGGCCTGAGGTCCGACTCGCCCGGCCCCGCTCCTACCGCCGATACTAGGGCACATACTGACAAGGCCGCGGGTACGGCGGCGGGGGGTGGGGGCGGGCCGGGGACGGGGGCTAAGCCCCTGACCTGGGCGAGGCTAGGCGAGGAGGCGAGTGCCCCCATAGGCCGCGGTCCGGGGGCGAGCCCTGGGCCTTCTGTACCCTAGGCAGGTGCTTCCCTCCTGCGTCGTATGCTCCCATCTCTCTCCCACCTGAGCGCGGACCCGCGCGCCGCGAGCGGGTGCCCCAGGACGGTTGGCGCCTCGTGGCGCCAGTACGTAGGTGGCCAACGCCTGGGCCACTCCGCCTGGGCGCATAGTCCGTCTCTCTCGCTCACACAGATGCACACCAAAGTGGTGCTCCGCGCTTAGGCGAGTCGCACCGGCACAGCGCACAGCGACTGTCGCACCTCGGAGTGAACCTGAACGCAAGCCGACCCAGGCCAGGCCCATAGCAGCAGGAAACTTTCCACCGTCCGGGCTAGGACCCCGAGGACCACTCAGCAACTCTATACTTATAGCGCCCAGGTATGTACGGGGGTCTTGCAATGAATTGGAATACCACGACAAAAGGTTCACAATAGTGTAAAATGACTGCCCAACGACATCAAAGCGTTAGTACCAGCCAGAAATAGAAAGTTGACTCAACTTTGAATCGACGTCTAAGTTGACAGTACGTCGAAATTTGAAGCATACATTGGCCAATCAACATCGATTCAACGTTTACGTTGATAAACGTCGATGCATTTCTCGCTGGGAGTGAAACGATACCGCTTTCTCCATTTTCGGCATAGCTTTGACAGACATTTCTTACTGGGGTCATGCACGGGAGTCGTTGATGAGAGGCTGCTAATTGGTGAACTGACTGACATCAGACAAGGTCAGAGTGTGAGCCGTGCTGCTGCAATGAGACCAAAAACATCTCCTCAAAAACTGAGTGATGCTCGGTGTGTGTGTGGGGGGGGG